ACAACACTTGGAATTATCCTTCCGGCTGGTGGATTTTTCTCCTTTGCTTGGCTATCTTTCTGTGTCTCGTAGATTTTGCATAACAAATATTAAACTTGAAATATCCACAGAAAAGCAATAGTCCGTAATCTTATGAAATTCTTATTCCTCTCATTCATCTTCAAGGTCATTAACCTTATGATGATCATGTTTGGAATATGGTTTTGACTTATAGGATCATTGGACCGAGGATTTGGTATTCCTATTAGGATTATCATATGATTTTAGTGGGTTGTTCATATTTTTGATCTCCTTGTCTTCTTCGAGCCCTGTGAACCTCGGTGCTTTGCTCCTTACTTCATTCATTCCTTTGCATGGAGTTATTACAAGGTTTTCGTAGAAAGGATAGTCCTTCTTTAAGCCATATTGAAGGTTTCTATAGAAATTTCCATATTAATGTTGGCGATACTCAGAGCTTCCCTGACAAACATGTTCATGACATTCCTGAGGGATTCCTTAGGATCGTGAACCACGTGATAGAGATCACTAGTGATTTTTTCGAATGTTTTGCCACAAGAAAATTGGTTGTTAATAATATTAACTAAATGAGCAAACAAAGTAATAAAGTAAGGAAGAACATTTAGAAGCCATTTCAAGGATCATCTTGTGAGGGTCGAACCAAAACTCTTGCATAGGCAAACTTCTTTCAAATGTGGGGGAATAGGGATGATCTCCATTCTTTCACTGTATCGTGCTACATGTTTTTCAGGATCTATATTCCCATTCTAAGGCTTCCTACTAGGACTTTGGAGACGCTTTGGGATTTCAGTGTCAACAATTATGGTGGAAAATCTTGAAATCTTGTGGCTTGTTAAGGAAACATCCGATATAGGTTGGACTGCTCCGAGCACACTTGAGATCATTTGTCTTTATTGCTAAAGTTCATTGGCCATTATCAGGCTCATTCCTGTGTCAATACCAGAATACTTAGTAGTGAAAGTATTATTATTTAAAAAGTTACTAAGGTACTTGTTATTAGGAATGATGAAGGTTTCGTTGGGATCCTAGATCGCATGAGTTTTCTTGTTTAAAGTTGCACCCCATGCAAGAGTCGGGACAGGTGTTGAGGATCCTATCTCTCGGTGGTTTCTTGAGGATCTTGTATTGTCAAAGTTCAGGATTTAGTGCTGTAATATCGAGGGTGTAACAACCCAAAAACCATAGAAAAATTTTCATTTTTAAATAAGGTTAATACCAAAATCCATTACACAATCATCATTTAAAATCACTAGAGTATCAATAGTAGGGAATGTGGAAAATAGTGGAGAGTGAATGTTGCACCATCAAGACAGGCCCTTCCCTTTAGAATTGGAAGTACCTAAAATCACAATACATACTGTAAGCTAACGCTTAGTGAGTTTTCCTAAAATAATACATACTAGACAAACATATGGGCCCCGTCGTGGGGTTCATTCCAACCTGATCACAAATATGGGCTCCCGCCCTAGGGCCACTCCCTGGGGTGTATTTCAACCAGATCACACATATAATCCATTACAACTAACATATGACATAAAAAGATAATGGGCCGGCCTTGATACCTTCAACCCGTAACATCAGGAAGAGACTCACCTCGGTCTGCTGATAATAATAACTACTCAGCTACCAATCTAAAAATCTCAAACTGAATAGATAGACAAGATACCCTAATTAATATTATGGTATGAACCCAACCAAGGCCCAACGTACTACAGGCCACTGCTGAGTATGCGGGGCATACTCAGCTTGTACGCTCGGCGTACACACTTAAGGGCATGTACGTTACGCGTACGAGCTTGCACGCCTAACATACTCCTCTAACTTGACAACTTTGCATTAAGTTCTTATTTTGTTGAGACACTTGCTCCAATACCCAAATCTGACCTCCTTGAAGTAGATAATCATGTAAAGCTGGTAACTTTATGTGTATGCATGGCTTAATGGAGCCCAAAATGCCCAAAAGATCTTAATGAATGACTTAATGCTTTCATGGAGATCGCAAACACCATAAAGTTTACACCTTTAAGCTGAAAGAGGCCACTAAACATCTAGATCTACAAACTTTAGCATCTCCATTGGTCTTGACTCATCAAGACCTTCCAAAAGGGACCAAAAAGAACCAAAACAAGCTCAAGAGGAGATCTAAAGAAGAGATGAGAAAGGTATGAACTTTATACCTCCAAAATCTTCCTAAGATGAAGGAGATGTTGGATCTAGAAGCTTTACCACATCGAAGGGTTGCACCACAACCTCTTCTCTATGCAAACACACCCAAAAATGGCTTTCTTTTGACACACCAAGCTCAAACTCACTTCCAAAGGCAATTAGGGTTTATACAGATGTAAAGAGGAAATGAAGGCTGATACAAGTAAGGTCCAAAGGTTATAAGAGGGTTTAAATAGGACACAAGACCACAAATTTAGGGTTTTTAATCCAAGCCACGTATGCCCTGTCTGCCTCCTCGTACGCCCTACGTATGAGGCTTCAATGCTCGATGATGCGCACCCTTGTATACTAAGCGTACATGTGAGTACGCCCAGTGTACGATGAGTGGGTCCTTTTCCAAAACTTAATATTAAAAATAAAGGAAAATTACCTAGATTTCATGATGTTACAAGTCTCCCCCACTAGAGTTAGACTTCGTCCTCCAAGTCTGCTAATGCAAATAAGTCTGGGTACTGCTCTCTCATCTCGTCCTCTGGCTCTTAGGTCCACTTAGAGCCCTTTCGATGTTACCATTACACCTTTACCAAGTTCACCACCTTATTACGCAGAGCTTTCATCTTTCTATCAAGAATTGCAATGGGCTTCTCAACATAATTCAGGAGCTCATGCACCTGAATGTCATCTATAGAGATCACTGAAGACTCGTCGGCAACACAATAGGTACCCCGCTCAACTCTGTTGTGGTCTCCATGCTCGAATCCAAAACATAATCCAGAAACACAGAATGTCCCTGCTGAATAAGCCTCCTAGCCCTCGTTGTTGAATAGAGAGTTGGCCCATGCGATCTTTCCCTCCATAGGAGACTTCAAAGTCCCCGGAGCGTCTCGGAACTTCTTGTTGAGCGCAAGAGATAAAAAAGATCGGGTAGCCCCAAAATAAAAAAGAACATGATCCGACAATCCATTGACCAAAAAGGTCCCTATACAATATCATAACAACATAAGCATAACAATAAAAGAATAAAGATAGAGATAAGTCACATACTAGTCACGACGTCCGACACTGCTTAGGCCTCATCTGTGGTCAGCTGAAACAATCTGCTCTTGACCGCAGGAGCCTCCACTTTTCCCTGGCGGCCATCTGTATTCCTCAAAGTGGTAGGATCATGTGTTTCCACTACTCCTCCAAAAAATAACGGGGGTATGACTTCTTGGGGTTTTTGGATCTCCGTCCTCATCCTCTGTATTTCCTTGAGCAATGTCCTATTGTCTTCTTGTTGCTGAGTAACCCGATGTTCCAGTATCTTCATCATAGTGAAGAGTTTCTTGTTGAAAATCACTATAGGAGGATACCAAAATACTTAGGTAGTGATTGGAGAGGGTTTTCCTTTAGTGCCTCTGAAGTCTTCTTGGGAGCTCCACCTAGAGGTTGTGGAAAGATTTTCTAGGAAATGGGAGGAATAAAGGAAGAGGATAAGACTAGTTGGGTACACATGATTGTCAACACCATGGCCCCACATTGGGTGCCATATCTTTTTCGTCAAAAATCAATCTAATGAAAATCAACCAAATTGTATGAGAGGTTGTGGTTTTGTGATCAAAATGAATATGCTAATAAAGTATAAATGACACAAGCGAGTTTACAAGGAAAGCTCTTGATCCTTGTGAGGATCTCCAACATAAAACCTTGGGAGGTGATAATGATCACCTGGCTTGTTGTGTTTATTATTTTTAAAGTAGGTTTCAAGTGATAGTGAAGATAATACGAGTACAAGTGAAATACCAGAGCTTTTTCTGTGTGTAGTGTGCGATTTACAGGTGTTATTTATATTATATGCTAAATAATAAGAAGTCTGATATTTCTAGGATCATCCTTGAACAAATATTTACATGTTTCTTGAATCGGTATTTTCGGGACGTAAGCTTGGTGGAAGTGGTGCTCCATTGAGAATGAGTCTTATGTTGGCTAATTTTGTGTATGTGAGAAAAAGAAAGAAAGATATAGTCGTTAAAAGTGTTAAGAGATATTGATGATAATAATCTGGATCCTATTATATGTTTGTGGATCTTGAAGCTTTAGAAATATTAAGGATCCTACATATGATTCTGGAATCCTACCTTAACACCACCGATAAAAAAGAAGCCTATGTTCAAGGAATGACTAATCCTCCTCCAATACTGAACCAACATATTCGCTTCTCATCATCCTCAACTTCATCCACAGATCCTTCTGTAAAAGATTTTGTATAGTGAGGATCAACTCCACCTCAAATGGAAACCACTGATCCACTAATTCGGGATGTAAGTTCTCCAAGATCAATGTCTTATCCTCTTTAAGCTACAATTGTTCCTCCAATGCCAACACATCTTTAGGTCGCTTCTACTTATTATAAGGAGTCCAATGCAAACTTCGAAACTAATGTGCTCTCTCAGCTCCCTCTATTGGTGTAGATGACTGAATATCTGGGAGAATGACTATCCAAAGTAGAGCAAGATGCGGTTGCCATAAATTGTTCAATGACTTTTGGTGATGATGTTGATATGATGATTGAAGATGATCCTCCTGGATCTTTAGGCAATAATCGTCCACCACCACCTTCCTCATCAAATCCACATCCACCTACTCCTACACCATCATACCCCCTGCCTTGCACTCCCTCTCCACCACCTGACTCCCCTCCCCAAACTGATGATGCGAAAAGGGGGAGAAAAATCTAGAACCAATGATGACTGCAACAACTCCATCTTTACTTAAAATATTTGAATCAGGAAGGGATGCTAATCAAAAAGAAATTTTTGTAGTTTAACAAGAGAGAAATGATCATCCCATCCCACACGCTGATGCAAAAAATGATGAATAAACTATTCCAGACACTGGTGATCAGTTTGAGACTGATGAGTATGAAGTCTTTGTTGATTTAGGGTTTACGACACAAATTGTTGTTCCTTTGAGCGTTGTTTAGCATGATACATATTTTTAGAGGGAGATTCATCAAGGAGTCAATAGAAACATTGAGTTTGATGATGAAAACCTCAATCCTAGAAAAAGGAAGGATCCCCGCGCAAGTGACGTTGAAGCTCTAAGTTCTTCAGCCACTGGTGGTTCCTCAACCCCTCCTTCCAAGAAACGCAGGATGACAGTTGAGTTGGAGGATTTGACTATAGATTGGAAAATGACCGTTGAAGAGATCAGAGAAATTATGTTGGAACATAATGCCTCATTTCAAACAAGAAAAGTGGAACATCAATCTATCAAATTTTCCCAGCACCTTGCATCATGTGATGCTAAAAAAGACCAATATTCAACGTTCCAATATTGATGTGGTCAAACGAAATAGAGTCTCTACGCTAAATGATCGAATTAATTAAATTAATCAAAGTCTAGGAAGAAGATACCAAATTGATCCTATCATCAAAGTCAAAAACACCAAACCGAAGAATACATCTCTCAAATTGCATCTATTTAGGAAAAAGGTTGAGTTTGAATACACTAAAGTCATATTCAGTCGTGAGCTAGTTAAATATGGCTATGTAAAGTGGATACATATTCAAGAAACAACTTCTAAACACACATGGGTTCATGCTCAAGAGATAAAACTGGCTACTCAAACCCTAATCAAGAAATTCAAGAAGCTAAGCATAGTACCTTTAGTTGGTCCGTCCCAGCCATCCACTTCGAAGAGAACTAGTAAGCTTAGAATGTTAGAATATACTAAGTTTCTTCTTCCATATGACATCCCTACATCAAAAACAAGCTTCCAGTGAGTGTTGAGCTAATTCATCACATGTTCATATGGGAACCAGAACATGTTCATATGGGAACCAGAACATGGTATTTTCTATCTTGACATTCAGAACCAAATGTAATTTCAACACACTTAAGATCTTCCCAATGTTCCTACCGAGCATTTGTTCAATCTTTTTCTGTAGGATATGCGAAATAAAGAGTTGGAAAGAGGATATTGTGTATTGATCTCTTTTGAACCCAATAAGCATCTAATTAATCTTCATCTTGATGAATTCAAGTAGTTAGATCCTGAGATCTTAACAGAAGCTGAAAAATTCTTAAATGATGACCTTGATGACTTCATTGAATAGTAGTTTTGGCATCATCAGATAGAGAGATTGTAATGTCACACCTTATGATCTGACGAGTCAAACACTCTACTTGCTAACCACCAACGCCAACGTCAGCACTAGCACCAGCGTTAACACACAGTCTTATCAGCGCCAACATGAACCAATGATATTTGAGATATTTTGTATGTTAGGTAGTTATATGCACATATATATATATATATATATATATATATATATAGAGAGAGAGAGAGAGAGAGAGAGAGAAAGAGAGCGAGAGCGAGAGAGAGAGAGAGAGAGTAGATATCTGATCGGTAATCTAGGTGCATGATTAGGATCAGACCTTTACTTAGCTAGTTTTACATCCCTTAATTAGTGGATTTTAGTTATTATAATCATATATATTCAACATCAGGGTGAAACGCTAATATAATGACTTAGTGACCATCTTTGTGACCTTCATTCTCTTGGTGAGAACATTCTTTCTTAGTGAAAGCATCTTTGTGATTACTCGTGTTCTTTGTTTTTCTGTTTAATATTTTCTTAGTTCGTTCTTTATTTGTTATTCATACTTAAAGTGTATCCGGTCGATACAAACCTTCAGTAATACCTTTTACCAATCTCAAAGGTTTTATGGGAGAGATAATTATCGTGAAATGCTTTGGTCTTAACCGTGTAGATGTGTGACTTCTCGAACGCTTCATTTCATATTTCCTCCAACTCTTGAATCTCTAGCTTTCGGTGAATACCAGCTTCATCAATCTTCCTGTTTAGTTTCTTAACAACCTAATAGCCTTGTTCTGTAACCCAACAGGGAGATGGAAAGCTTTTCACAACACGAGTCTATATTGTGACATACCAAATGGAATTTTGTATCCCAAACGGAAAGCTTTCCAAGCATTTATGAAGAAATGTATTTTGTTTATATTAAAACTTTGGGATGTCACCGTCAATACAAAAACTTAAGAATAAACAAACCTTACATTCATTTACACTAGTGATTTACATCTCCTTCAATCTCTCAGTGTAATTTAGCTTCATATCGGTACATGTGATACAAATAAACTGAGTGGGTCAAGTTGGGAAACCTGGTGAGTACATAGGGTTTTCAACCCACAATAATAAAGTTATTATTTTTCATCATCAAACAATTAACCAAATTACCCATCCTTATTATGTTCTTTATTTCTTCAGGATGTACCCTAATAATCATCTATCCTTTATTCATTCCTAAGGAACAAGAACAGAGCTCCATCACTGCCAATGGCACAGCTGCCAATGTTATCTACTAGGCACAACTACTAATATTATCATTTAGGCGCAACTGCCAGAATTATGATGTTCCCTATTAGGAACAGCCGCCGATATTATCCTTTAGGCGCAACTGCCAGGATTATGATGTTCTCTATTAGGCGTAATTGGCGATATTATCTTTTAACCGCAGCTGCCAGGATGTTTAGAGTACATCGCAGTTCAAAGACATCTATAGGTTCTGACACGGCTGCCAATGTTCATCTATAGGGCACTAAATCCATAGCTACCAAGGTTTATTTCTTTTATCGACAATATTATTTTAGGGAGTCCACCGACAATACATGTCAATCGGTTTTTAGAGTACATCTGGTGAACACATCATTCATAACAACTACAGGTTGCGAGTCTGCTAGTATTCCACTGGACTGTCTAGAATAGTCTGTGGTTGTCATCTATACTCTGCTAGATGACTGAGTCATCACTTGGGTCAACGCTTCTCATTATCTTTCACCTCTCATCATCTATATCATCTTTCATCTCTCATCATTCATGTCAACTTTCATCTCTCATCTTATCTCCGATCCACCCATCTTTACCCATCATAATTATAGGTATAAAATAAGTATACAATTTAAATAGAATAAAACAAGTATATTTTGTTCATCTAACATAGATATCAAGAACATAGATAATATGCATACATATCACATAATTTATATTATATACTTCATATCTATGTGTAAGATAAAAGTAACTATCCATTCACTTGCTTAGTTAGCGAAAACTAACTACTATTATGGCTCCAAGCTCAACAATGTTTTCCAACTTATTCTATTGCCTAAAACATCTAATATGTGAAGTAATATCCAAAAATCATTTCGTGAAAGACTTTCGTTGATATATGAAAATAATTGAAGATTTTGCTATTTATACTAGAACTGAAACCACCTATCTCTTATCTTTCGTACAGTTTAAAATGTTTACTCATTTAAAATCAGTTATACGTATAACTCTAGTTACAAGAGTCAATAGAAAAACAAAACACATATAACATTTTGTTAAACGAAGTTGTACGATCACATATTTAAACAACACGTGTTATTTTTAATTAATAAAATATATACGAACTTTCTTATATTTCTTACACCTATGCTGGTTTGCAATTCACAAATCAATTATAGTTATATTTATAGTCCCTCAGTTATTCTTGTATTAACACAATATATCATTGAAGTTACACTATACTCCCTTAACTATTTATTAATAAAATCATTATACCCTTTATAATAAAATCTTATCCAAATTTATAATCTATAACTAACATCTTAAAAAGTAGTTGGTGAATTATTATCGAAAAACAGAAAAATTATCGTTTCTTTACTTGGGTTCACCCTTAAATGTATTTAGACCAAATACGTCTTATATAGTTTGAGATTTTACAGTCGTTATAATTTTTGTTACGATTATTTATCCTAAATAGTCTTCTTTTTAAAAATGTTATATTATCACTTTTCGATAAGTTTATAACAAGATTTATAAAAATATTACATACCCATAATATTTGTCCACATAATACGCATATAATAAATAAGTATTTGTATAACCTGTAATGCATACGCATACGAAGAAAATTTATCATATTTGAGGATTTTAATTATTTGATAAAACAAATTTTTATTATTACTATCCCTTTAACGTTTAGCCTAACTCTTGGGCATTACAATTGTCCCCCACTTACGATGATTTCGTCCTCGAAATCACAAAATCAACGAATACATAGGATCTCCACTACTCGATTTTTCTTTATATATATATATATATATATATATATATATATATATATATATATATTCCAAGTAAGAGTTGTCTTTCACACTTTTGCCTTAATGGTTGGTTCTCCCTTACTTGGGTTCAAACTCTTTTCTACTACTACTTACAACCAATCAAAGCCCAAGTCGGATCCGCCTCTGTGATTGTTAATCTTTTTTCTCTTTGAAAGAAGCTTATGATCGTCATATTAATGACTTTATCATCGCCAATGTAGCATCACTGTGTGTGCTCACAACAAGTGATCTTCTCATTTCTCAAAATCATGGTTTGATCAAGATCACGACAAGCACAAAGTCATCTACCAAGATACATGTGTACACAATGGTATAAGAGGGTAATAATAGCAACAACAACGGTTTCTAAACTCAATAGTTTCTTTTCCTCTTTGTTGGGTCGATTAACTTTTCGTTCTTCAATTGATCATCTTGACCACATCTAAATTGCTTGGACATAGATGCACAACAAACATCCTTATGCGTATTTTTATCAACTGTTACTTTTATGGCTTTGCTAAAAATTTTCAAACACTTCCGACTTCTTAGTAGATGGCGGTGCTCAAACTTTCACCTTCTCTTCATTCTCTATTGGACCTTCGGTCATAATCTTAAAGCTAAAAATTCAATTCTCATTACAATCTCCTACTCCTTCTTAAAATTGGGCCATAGACTCAACCCAAGATAAGGTCTTTACTTTTGCTACAACAACAACTCGAATGGTCATATTCTAATGATCTTCATTTGCATAACGCAAAAGAAACACAATGAACCAGACTCTTGTCTCTAACAGTCAAATACTATCATGGAAGAAACCTTCCTTCATGTTCTAATGTGATATAATCTCTTCATAGCAAGTAGCATTTCTAGATAAAAACGCTTACCTTAACAATGATCACGATACTTCTATTGATCGCTTTGATTACCTTGCACTTCCATCTTATAACTTAATTCAAATGATACATCGAACTTTGTTCTCTGAACCACATGACATACGTATCTAAGGCGGACCCGATTTGATATGACCACTAGGTTCGGAGTAACAACCATCTTTCTAGTCATTACCGAAACAATGGTAACAACATACTTAAACAAAATGGAATCAATTACTAGCTTTTGGTAACCTTGTGACTTTCCCTGATCTAAGTGTGAGTCATGTGCTTCCG